CTGGAAGAAAGATGACAGTGGTCGGTGACCAACACCTTGTAATAATGTGATTTTTTTTTTTTAAACTGAAGTGTGTGTGATATCAAAAGACCTTTTAAAGCCACACTGGCTAGAATTATGTTATTACAGAAGGATATGGCTCAAGGGGCTGAAAACAACCTGGTTTTTATCACTGTCCATTCTGTCTGGTTAGTCTCTATATTCCGTCTTTGGGAAGAATATGTTTCTTGCCTGGCAGTCTAGGTAAAAGGCAATTTTAAACTATAATCTTAAGTTGTTATATACATATAAATCATTTTTACTACCATTATAATACAGTGAACAGTTTTTCTCACTGGAAAGAATCCTTAAAGCTTATAAAGCCTTTGCCTAAATAGCTTAGAAGAATATTGTTTTCTGAGAAGCTATTAAAATGCAATTTCAGTGTCTGTGTTGCCAAAATCTGACAGAGGGGATTTTCAGAATTCGTAGAGCTACCCCAATCCGAAGCCAGGAACCAGGAGCATCCTCCAGGTCTCCCATGCAGATGCAGATGCAAGGCTTTGGGCAGTCCTCGACTGCTTTCCCAGACCACAAGCAGGGAGTTGGAAGGGAAGCCGGGCAGCCAGGGTTAGAACCAGTGCCTGCATTCAAGGCAAGGACTTTAGCCGCTAGACCACCATGCCAGGTGTTAAATATATCTTGACAATAGGATGCTGGACTCTCTGCCATTGTCCATATCTACAGTGTCAGGATGCACTTCAATAACAGAATGATGGACTTATTACTGATTGTGAAGGACTATACTATTGTAATAATATAGGAGAAATCAGTATGATGAGGAGAGGATTTGGAAAGGGGGGAAGGGAATTCCCAGAGCCTATGGAACTATAGCATGAAATAATAAAATAAATGAATTTCTTAATACAAAGTGTTGTAGCAGTTCAGCAAAGTGAAGTTCATGTAAAGCATGTAAAATCATACTAGGTGTTAATGATCAAGGGGGTAGCTTGGGTAACCAAACAGGTGGGCCTTTCTCCCACAAGAGTGGTTGCTTTTAGGTGAAAGAGAAGGAAATGGTAATAACTTCTGCTCTGGGCGTGGGGAAGAGGAGCATCCATGAGCTACCTTGCAGAAGTCGTCCAGAAACCATTTGGACAAAGTTTAAGAGAGAATTCTGAGTTGGAGACACTTTTGTTGAGATAATGCAGAATCATGAGGGTTCATAAGATTTTTTTTTAACAAAAGAAAGAAAAGGTAGAATATTGGAAGATTTAGAAAGCTTAAGGTGAAAGAGGGATCAGAGCAAGATCAATTCAAAAGATGGAAGGAGAGCCAAGAGATGAACTTTCACAAGAATGCAGAAAGAGGAAAACTTCATGCATGAAGAATAGCGTTTTAGTATGAAAGACTATAGAGATATAAAAATTGAGAAAACTTTAAAAATTTGAATTTGGTAATGTTGACATCATTGTTGACTTTCAAAATCCCACAGCATGTTAGTGTAGAAACCAGATGTTGTATCAGAGAGTATAAACACATTTCAATGACTCCTTCATAAAGTTTAGAGATTAAATCAAAGAATAAATGAGTTCAAAACAGAAGAGAAAGCAGTTTATTTTTTTAGGTAAAGGAAATGACTGAAGGCAAAAGAAATTCCTGGAAGCAAAAAGGAATTAACAGTAAATTTTATACTATTCCTTCACCCAGTTGTTTATTTTCATAACTGCTAGGAACCAGACACTGCAAGAAATTGAAAGTATAGCCGTGAATAGGACAAGCGAACTTCTGGTATATTTTTCTAATTACTTTTTTCTGTCCTCTTCCCGCATTTACCTCCCAAAACTTCCAACATTCCTTCCTCTTTTTAGCAGTGATTCTGCAGGCACAGATACTTAACCAAACTTAGTAACATCTACACTATTCAGTGCTATTTCTTAAGGTTTCTCATTTCCTTTACTAAATTTTTTCCTTTTCAGTAGTTACTAATAATGCATGAACTCCCCCATGAGGTATAACCTTTTGTGTATACTTTACATTTGGCTTTCTTCTTCTTTAATTTTAAGTTATTTTATTTATATAAGCTAGACTAACTTCACATCACAGATTTAGGTACATACTGATACTTTCCACCCTACCCTCCCTGCTTCCAGATTCTCCACCCACTCTCCTCCTTTCTTTTTGAAATGTTTACAGCGACATACATTCAGTTCACAAGCACAATCTTAACACTCTATTAGGTAAAGAATTTAACAAATAGCAAGCAGGAAAAAAAGACACTTACTTCACTAAAAATATCAAGAGCTCAGTAAATGAGGAAGTCTGATGTGACAGCAGTGTTCAGGGTCATTTTCTCATTCAGTGGTCAGCATGTATTTTTGCTTCTTTTTGATAAAATCCTTCATTGTGTACTTGTAAGAACAACAATTATTGTTAAAGCAGCAGGCCCTTGATGATGCAGTTTACAAATGAAACACATTTCCTGTAGTTTGATGTCATCCCTGTTCAATTGGGCTCTTGACATGCACCAAGGTACTACTTATTGTTTCAAGAACAATAATTGTTAAATGTCAAGCTTTCCCTTGGATGTTACTCATCCATGTAAAAGACAGAATGTCATAACCACCAGCTGGAAGCTACTAGTTTAAAATTCTGAGAATTCATTCCATATGAATTAATTTAAACTTGAAGAATATCAATTAAGTGAATTGGAAAAAAAAAGGAGGACAATTTCTGTTTGGAAAGAAACTTGGAAGTGATATAATCAGGGAATGCATTTGTGGTAGAGAAGAGAATGGGTGAGTCAATTATTTTGGGAGGACGCATAACCAGAGAGTGCTGGCCAAGACTTGGTACATTGTTAAGCCAGAGAATATACTACCTGGGAAAGGTATTACATAATGGCTATTCTCAGATGAATCTTTTTATGGGAGGCAGCATTAGATATTTAAAACAAGTTTAGAGAAAAGTGAGGCAAAATGAAACTGTTAATTGACCATTGAAGTCAGCAATATGGATGCAAGTGGTGGCTTACACCTGGAATGGTTCACTAAAATACTAGATGGGGAGAAATTCGATTTAAAAATTTTTAAAAGAGGGTCCTGGTGCAATAGCCTAGTGGCTGAAGTCTTCACCTTGAACGCACGAGGATCCCATATGGGTGCTGGCTCAATCCCAGCAGCTCCACTTCCCATCCAGCTCCCTGCTTGTGGCCTGGGAGAGCAGTCGAGGATAGCCTAAAGCCTTGGGACCCTGCACCTGTGTGGGAGACCCAAAAGAGTCTTCTGGCTCCTGGCTCCAGATTGGTGCAGCTCCAGCCATCACAGTCACTTGTGTGAATCATCGGACGGAAGATATTCCTCTCTGTCTTTCCTCCTCTCTGTATATGACTTTCCAATAAAAAATAATAATAAATTCAAAAACTTTTTTTTAATTTAAAAAGAGACTGTGAGGAGCCAATATTGTTTGGTATAGAGGATAAAACTGCTGCTGGGCATCTCACATGGGCTGCAGGTTGTGTATGAGCTGCTCTATTTCTCATCCAGCTCCATGCTAATAGCCTAAAGAATGAACTGGAAGTTGGCTGACATGCTTGGGTTCCTGCCACCCCTGTGGGAGACCCAAATAAAGCTCCTGAGCTCTAGTTTTGGCCTGGTCCACCCCCAGCTGTTGTGACCATTTGAAGAATGAACCACCAGTAGAAGATCTCTGTATATCTCTCCTTCTCTCTGTAAGTCTACCTTTCAAATAAATCTTTACAAGAGAAAGAATTAGAGGTAAGAACAATTGGGGTGCTTTTCTGGGAAAAGGAACAAAAATGTTGCATATCAAGAGTACATGAGGTGAAGAGAATATAAGCTTGTTTAAGACGGGAAAAATTGTGACATGTTTATGTGTTGGTGACAGTTATTCACCGGAGAGGGAAAAATTGATGAGCAGGGGGAAATGGTAGAACTTCCTGTTTGAGGAAGGAAATGGAGATAGGATTTCATGCACAGAAGAGGTTTTAGTCCTGGAGACACAGGCAGCCTAAGATCCTAACAGAAGGCAAAGCAGATTATGTGGCATCGACACAGGAAAGTGTCTGTTGTGGGAGGGCAGCTTCTAGAAATCCGTATTTTTTTTTAAGATTTATTTTTATTATTTTTTTATTGGAAAGGCGGATATACAGAGAGGAGAGACAGAGGAAGATCTTCTGTCCGATGATTCACTCCCCAAGTGAGCACAATGGCCGATACTATGCCGGTCCAAAGCCAGGAGCCTCTTCTGGGTCTCCCACGCGGGTGCAGGGTCCCAAAGCTTTGGGCCGTCCTCGACTGCTTTCCCGGGCCACAGGCAGGGAGCTGGAAGGGAAGCGGGGCTGCCGGGATAGAACCGGCGCCCATATGGGATCCCAGCATGCAAGGTGAGGACCTTAACCACTGACATGTGCTAGGCAGCAGATATTAGCTGTGATTTAGGAAGGATAAGAAATATTCCAAATTTTGCAAGAGGAAAAGTATGAAATAGTTACCTTGGAAAGGAAATGGGTCAGTGTGCTCTGGAACTGGTTGAAGTATGGTTCCAACAGTATCCTGGAATTAGAAATGAATTCTGTGAGCTTGTGTGTGGTTAGTCTGGGCTCCACCTACAGCTAACTAGATTGTGAATATGGAGTCAGGGGAATGGTGCATAGAACTCAGGTTGAAATTTTGCCAAAGGCGTGCAGTGTGAAACAGGGACAAAGAAGTGACTGTAATGACACGGCTTGGAATTTTTGCCTAATTAGGAAGGAAGTAAGACTTTGGAAATGGAAGTGGAAAATATGAAAGATGTGGATGTGGCTCAGTTAACTGTATGGCTCTCTGTGATCAAATTTGATCAGAGTTGGAATGTTAATAGTAAACTTCAAAGATAGGAGATGGTGATCAGAGAGTCAGAGAAACAGGCTAATATGGCACCTGCAATGCTTTAACTGGAATGACCATGTTTAGGAGTTTGCTTAGTGGCTGTACTAACTATTGAATTGATTGACTTGTTAGATTCATGACTACAAAGAAGGAACGCCGGAAGAGAAGGCCTACTATATAGAATTGTGGGATGTTGGTGGCTCTGTGGGCAGTGCCAGCAGTGTGAAAAGCACAAGAGCGGTATTCTACAACTCTGTAAATGGTAAATTTTTATGTCTGCTATAGAGTAATTATCTAAAAGTGTAAATGATTTTACATGAGATATTGTAACACTCAAGATTCATTTAAATTTAGAAGGTTTTAATATACTCACAGCTCCTGATTTCATTGTGCATGTCACATTCCATTTTATGTTTCTAGATTCTAACCATATAGTTCAGAATAGTAAACATCTGCTTGGTCTAAGTTTTTCTATTTATATTATTGTCATAAACTAAATACTGAGGAATAAAATTGCATCAACATTCAGAACACTGTGTCCCTTAAGTGCTGTTGTTCCATTCAGTTAAATTAAGTGCAGTAAGACCATTAAGAGTCCTTTAGCCCTACACCAGATACCACAGAGATACAAAAATTTCTTTCCGTGCCACTTAAACAGAGTCCTATATAAAGAAATGCTTAGGGGAGTTTTGAAGGGAGCAGAAATTGCATGTAGTTTTAGATATTTAAATACTTCAAGAAAACTTCCATAGGAGATGTGTTAGAGAGGGCCCACTTTTGGTCCAAAGTGCCTAGGCTGTACTAAGGGACCAAACAAACTACATTTGTAATTTCTGTGTAGAATTTGTTTATCATCTCTCTTTACTTTTTAAAGCCTTTTTTAAAATGCAGAATACAGTTTCAACTTGTGTTTGATGAGTCTCTGAAAAGCTTTGGTATCTCAGTCCTTCCCTCCTGGTAAATGCCATTGCTAAGAGCTCGTGTGTGCTGTGCTTAGATTACATTCCATAATTAGGGAAAGGTTGCATTTACTTAGCACCTTTGTGCCTTACATTCTTGTATCATTCCTTTTTTTTAAGATTTATTTTATTTTCATTACAAAGTCAGGCATACATAGAGGAGGAGAGATAGACTGAAAGATCTTCCCTCTGATGGTTCACTCCCCAAGCAGCTGCAGTGCTGGAGCTGCACCCATCTGGAGCCAGGAGCCAGGAACTTCTTCTAGGGCTCCCACACGGGTGCAGGGTCCCAAGGCTTTGGGCTGTCCTGGACTGCTTTCCCAGGCCACAAGCAGGGAGCTGGATGGGAAGCAAAGCCACCAGGATTAGAACCGGCACCTATATGGGATACTGATGTGTTCAAGGCGAGGACTTTAGCCACTAGGCTACTGCGCCGGGCTCTGTTTTATTATTTCTAATATACCTACTCTTCATGGGTAATTTGTTTTCTCTCTTAATATTATTGAAGGAATTACATATACATGCTATGTTAGTGTTGCAAAGAGACAGAGACATATTCCAGTTTCTTAATTAAAAAAAAAAACTTATTATTGATAACCCTGTTTCTGTATTCTTTTGCCCTAGTTTTGATAGACGCATACAAGGCCCTTCATGCTGTCTACCATCCTCAATTACCTGAGAAACAGAGTATAGGAATTACCCACTCAAATGTGCACTCCTGTGCTCAGTGAGAGCTTTCGTGCCTCAGTATCCTACCGACTCCCACTCGGATGAGCCAGGCTGGTAATTATAGAAGGAAACCTGTAAATTGTGTCTGCTTCTGTCAAAATTAGAACATTCGCATCAACTGTCATTCTGACTTCTTCCATCTGGCTCTTCTAGCTCATGTTCTATAAAGCAAGAGCCCTCAGCCCTGATGAAAGAAGAATTAGGAAAACAATGCACAAATAAACTGTTCTCTGTTCATCTCATAGCTAGCCTACTCTGTGGTAATGCTTTCACTTTCATGTTCCAAAAATCCAAGCCATCATTTTGTGATATTTATGTCAGAAAAAAATAGAAAAGGAAAAAAAAATATCTGCCAATTCTTTGCCCTGAAGTGAGATTTTGCTCTGTTTTCTCCCAATCTTTTACCACTCTCAGATTACCTGATTCTAATTTCTTTTTTTTTTATGGAGATTTATTTTTATTGCAAAGTCAGATATACAGAGAAGAGGAGAGACAGAGAGGAAGATCTTCCGTCCGATGATTCACTCCCCAAGTGACCACAATGGCTGGAGCAGCGCCAATCTGGAGCCAGGAGCCAGGAACCTCCTCCAGGTCTCCCACGTGGGTGCAGGGTCCCAAAGCTTTGGGCCATCCTCGACTGCTTTCCCAGGCCACAAGCAGGGAGCTGGATGGGATGCAGGGCTCTGGGATTAGAACCAGTGCCCATATGGAATCCCAGCACATTCAAGGTGAGGACTAGCTGCTAGGCCACCGCTCCGGGCCCCTAATTGTAATTTCTGACTACCCCACCTACCATGTATACTGAAGGAAAGTTACTCAGCTTTTTTCAGCCTTGCTTTCTTCATATGTATAATGAAGATAATAATTCTTACTGCATTGAACCATTCTGAAAATTAAATTAGATTGCATGTAAAACAAAAGAGCTGGCATGTCTATATTGAATATATATTAGCTGCTTTCCTTAATGGGAGCCCTTTATTCTTTTTTTATAATCTGCCTTTGATGTTTATTGGAATCTTTCATTATGAAAACTAGAGTGAACACAGTTTGGATACTGAAGCAAGAGTTAAATCTCTACTTGTTCCAGACACTACAAGAGATAAAGATTTGTCTCAGCTTTTCTGGAGTGAATCAACTGTAAGTTGCACAAACACCTTAGTTACACAGATAGCTGTGAAAAAAACCCAGAAGCCAGTTAGCCCTACCTTTTCCACCCTTGTTTTTCAAATTCACATATACCACACCTTGAAGATGGAAGAACTACCAGTTTCATGTACCTTTTCACAGAAGAGTCTTTGTAATATAGGAAAGAATTGCAAGTTTCAAAGCCCAGTTTTTTGACCAGTGATATTCTAAATTCTAGTGGGCATTAAGGGTTTTTCTCTTCTGTATGTTAATGTAATTGCCTACTCAGCCTTTCTATCTAGGATCTTAATTGATTCTGTTTCATTGAATTTTTAGTTTCATTGAATTTTGTTACTTTTTCTTAATCTCTCCAAAAAAATCTATGTATTTTTCTTATTTTTAAATATTTCTTTGAAAGGCAGAATCTAGAGAGGGAAGGAGAGAGAGAATGAATGTTCTCTTGAATCATTCCCTGAATTGCAATAACAGCCAGTGTGGGTGAGGCTGCAGCCAGGAGCCCCAACCTCCATCTGGGTCTCCCACATGTGTTACAGTGTGCCAGCTACTTGGGCCATAATACATTACTTCCCAGGTTCATTAGCAGGTCCTTGGATCAAAATGCAGTAGCTGGAACTTGAACTGGGATGCTGACATCTCAAACTAAAGCTTAACCCACTGTGCCACAATGCCAGCTAAGCCTCATGTATTTTCTGCTATTCATACTCTTTAAATCTTTTCATGTTTTCTTCTAGTGGTATATTTCTTTTACATTATTAACTAAACCTCTTAAAAAAGTAGACAATTAAGCTTTTGATTAGGCCTGGATGATCTATGGGACAATGTTTTATCAGCTAATAAATAACATTTGTGACAAATTCATACAATTTTATTAATTTGTGTGACATAGTGTTTGTGGTAAGTAGAGGTAATGTCAATGGCAGTACTGTGCAAATGTAGAAGCAGTGTACCTTTTTGAATAAATATGATTTCTTAGGCACCTGAAGTCACTTTGACACTCTTGATTAATGAGATGATTCTGCTGTTGGGATCAGCAATGAAGCAAGCATTCAGGAAGTGTTGAATAAGTAAGAGTAGAGGGCCCAGCGTCGTGACCTAGCAACTAAAGTCCTGACCTTGAACGAGTCAGGATCCCATATGGGTGCTGATTCTAATCCCAGCAGCCCTGCTTCCCATCCAGCTCCCTGCTTGTAGCTTGGGAATGCAGTTGAGGATAGCCCAAAGCCTTGGGACCCTGCACCCATGTGGGAGACCTGGAGGAAGTTCCAGGCTCCTGGCGTTGGATTGGCTCAGCTCCAGCCTTTGCAGTCACGGATGGAGACCTTCCTGTCTTTCCTCCTCTCTGTATATCTAACTTTGCAATAAAAATAAATAAATCTTAAAAAAAAAAAAAAAGAATAAGAGAAGACATTCTAAAAGTTAAGAAGTATGTTAACTTTTGGGGAAAATAAGTTATATAACTGACAAAAACTTTAAGTTAACTATATGTAAATGTTTGTAAAGGCCATCTTTAAATAACTGTTCCTGGTTTGGTTATGGACATTAGAATGCCAGATTCATTAAGCAACCTAATGCTTGCACTTTCTAACTTCACTTTGCCAAATATTAAATGAAAAAGCACTGATATTATTTTCTCTGATTCTTTTAGGAATTATTTTAGTGCATGACTTAACAAATAAGAAGTCATCCCAAAACTTGTATCGTTGGTCACTGGAAGCTCTAAACAGGGATTTGGTGCCAACTGGAGTCTTAGTGACAAATGGGTAAGACCAGAATTACTTCACAGTTGGCTTGAAATGGTTTCTACAATTTGGGCAAAATCAGTTGAGGGGAGGGAATTTTGCCAGGGGGATCCTATACCCTACATAATTGTAAAATATATTCTTCAAAATAATACTTTGTATTTTAATATGCAAATATCTTCTTATTCTTTCTTTTTATAGCTTTTCTATACATATACATATACATATACATATATATGTAAAGTGAACACATTTCATGTATTTCACAATAAAGATATAGTAGTGTAGTGATAATTCCTACTCTACCCTCTCTCCTCCCCAATTTCCCCTCCTAACTTTCTTCTTGTTTAGTTCTGGTGTTTTTTTTTTTTTGTTGTTACAATGACATACTTTTAGGTCACTTCATAGTCACAGGCTTAACACTCCCTTAAGAATTCAGCAAATAGCTAGTAGGACAAAAAGAAACTATGCCTCAGACAAAGGCTACAAGCAGCAATCACATCTCAGTATGGCAATCTCACTCATGTAGATGACATTTTTTTAGACTCTGTGTATTACCACAAATCAGATAAAATGCACAGTATTTATCTTTTTGTGGAGACTGGCTTATCTCACTGAGCTAATACTTTCTACTTTGTAGTAAAAGAAAGCATTTCATTCATTATTTTTTTAAGGTTTATTTATTTGAAAGTCAGAGTTGTGAGAGCATCGGAGAAACAGAGATCTTCCATCTGCTAGTTCACTTTCCTAAACAGCTGCAATGGCTGGGCCAGACCAGGCAAGGCAGGAGCCAGGAGCTTCACCTGCGTCTCCCACATGGTTGCAGCGACTCAAGGACTTGGGCCATTTTCCACTGCTTTCCCATGTGCATTTGCAAGGGCCTGAATGGGTCAGATTGGGAATGGCAGGACTTGTCCCAGCACCCCTATCGATGCAGATACTGCAGGCAGCTCTTAATGTTTTGCACCACAAAACGAACTCCTCCTTTTATTCACTTAACAATTGCTTTAACACGTCAGTAGTTTTCATTCTAATGATACCTAACTTCTCAATTTTTCCCATATGGATTATGATATATTACCATTTCTGAGAACTCCTTGCCTAATCCAAGATCCAAACAGATTTTTGTCTCCTACAAATTTTATAGTTTTAGGCTTACAATTAGATATTTGACCTAAAGTTAGTTTTCAATAAGATGTGAGATTTTGGCTCACATTAATATTTGCCTGTGAATGTCCGATTGTTCCTACAGTGTTGAAAAGTTTATCATTTCTCAGCTGAATTATTTTATCTTCTTTGCCAAAAGCTAATTGAATATATTTGTATGGGTCTGTTTCTGAATTCTAATTCTGTTCCATTGATCTATGTATCCATTATTTCACTAGTACTATACTGTCATTGTTGCATGATAATAGTGCATTTTAAAATTAGGTAGTATGGTTCCTTTCACTTTGTTCTACAAAATGGTTTAATCTTTTCACACACACACCAAAAAAACTTTATTTAAAGATTTATTTTTTCATTGGAAAGGCAGATATACAGCAACATGAAGATACAGAGAGAAAGATCATCCATCCTCTGGTTCAGTCCCCAAGTGGCTACAATGGCCAGAGCTGAGGATCAGAAGCCAGGAGCAATGAACTTCTTCCAGGTCTCCCACCTGGATGCATGTCCCAAGGCTTTGGGCCATTCTCCATTGCCCTTCCAGGCCACAAGCAGGGAGCTGGATGGAAAGTGGACCAGCCAGGACACAAACCGGTGCCTCTATGGAATCCCAGTAGATACAAGGAAAGGATTTAGCCATTAAGCCGTCATGCTAGGCCCACAAAAAATTTGAGAATCAAGTTGTATGTATGAGCAAAAATTCAATTTGGATTTTAATTGAAATTGCATCAAATCCATAAATCAGATAAAATTAACATTCTTATTCTGTGACATCTTCTAATTCATGAACACATTATGCCTCTCCTTTCATTTAGTTCATTTTGATTTCTTTTACAAGTGTCAGCACTTTATAGTTTTGGGCACAGAAATCCTATATATATTTTACTTAATTTTATATCAAAGAACATATTTTAAAGATATTATAAATAATATAATTTTTTAACATCAGCTTAAAATTGTGTGTTGCTGGTACTATAAAGTAAAAAGAATTTTAGTACTGACCTTGTATCCTTTGACCAGAGTTTTTACTGGAATCCTTAAGATGTTCCACAAAGACAGGTTTATTTCCTCTTTTTCAACCTGCTCCTGTACTGTTTATTTCTTGACTTATTGCACTATGACTTCTAGTGTGGTGCTAAATAGAAGTGGTGGAATTGAACATTTTTATCTTGTTCCTGATATAAAAAGTGACCAGTCTTTTTTATAGTGCGTGATGTAGGTTTCTGTTGATATCATTTATCAGTTGAAGAAATGTTCTTTATATTCCTAAGTTGCTGCTAGGTTTGTTACGAACTTATGCTTTGTCAAAAACTTTCTCTGTATCAGTTGGTAAGGACACATGGATTTCTTTAGACCAGTAGTGTGATGGATTAGATTGATTGGTTTTCAAATATGAAACCAACCTTCTATTTCTTGGTCATGTAGTATTATTCATTTACTTATAGCTGGCTTTGATTTGTTAATATTTTCTTGAGGGCTTTTGTCCACATTTATGAGGGAATTGGTGTTGCATCCAACACGAGCTTCTTCCCAAGAAGTGCAGCCCACACAACTCTGCTAAGCAGCAAAGTTTATTGAGGAGGCAGATAAATCAAATGGTTGGGGTCAGCTCTCCTTGCAGTCAGAGAGTGATCCCAAGGTGGAAGTGAGATGGATTCTTATACAAAGAGTGAATTATACAGCCGTGGGAACCAGGTGATTTGGACAGCCACAGGAGGCTGCCATGGGAGTAATGGGTAAATAAATCCTACAATACTGATTCCTGGGAACCGAGGATTGCTAGCCGGCCATGTTAGCCTAGTGATCTGGACCAAGAAGCAGGAAACTGACAAAGCATTTTATACAGAAGCATAAAGAACAGGTTAGCAAACATATGCTTGCCTAAACCAAAGTGGCTCCATTTTGCTACTGGATTTTACAATTTGTGTGCAAATTTTGTTCATTTAATGTCATGATTGGTCTTGGTGTGAGGATAATATTGGCTTCATAGAATAAGCTGGAAGTATCCCTTTCTCTTCTGTTTTCTTGACAAGGTTATGTTTTGGTATAGCTTCTTCCTTAAATGGAGAGGCCTTTGGGGACTGGGGATTACCTGTTTCAAAGTTATTTCATTACAAACTTAATTTCATAGTAGCTATGAAAGTATTCAAGCTTTCTGTTTCAATCTTGAGAGTGTTTGGGAGTTTATGATTCTTGAGGAATGTATCAATTTCATTTAAGTTATTGCATTTATATGAATAGAGTTGCTTATATTATTTGTGTATAAACTTTTTTTTATATCTGCAGTGATATGCTATTTTTTTGTTCCAGATTTTTGTGATGTGTGTCTTCTCTCTGGCTTTGATCAGACTGGCTAGAGATTTATCATTTTTATGGGTCTTTCCCCAAAAATGTTCTCATTTCCTTAATTTTTCTCTGTTGCTTACTGTATGCAGTTTAATTGATTTCTGTTCTTGCTTCCTTTCTTCTTACTGTGTGTTTATTTTGCTTTCTCTTAGTTCTGTTTCTTAAGGTAAAACCTTAGATTAATACCTGGAAACCTTTCCTTCTTGCTAATATAAAGTTAAATTTATAAATGTTCCTTTTAGACTGCTTTAGCTGCATCCTACGAGTTTTTATGTCTTATCTTAACATCCATTTAGCTCAAGTTACCTAGTAATCTTACTTGATATTTCCTCATGGGTTATTTAGAAATGTATGTTTTCAGTTTCCAAGTGTTTATAGATGTTCTTTTCACCTTTTGTTGCATTCTAGCTTATTGTTGTTATGGACTAAGGACCCTTCTTTGTGTGATTTCAGTTATTTTATATTTGTATGCTACCAAACGATCAATATGGAACTGGAGTGCTGGTCTCTGCTGGCTCAGTATTTTTGTATACTAATTAGGATCACATCTATGCATATACCACCTTGAGGATGAGCCCAAGGTTTCATGAACTGCTTTATGGAGAAGCTTTTTCAAACTCCATACTCTAAAATCTCTCCTAAAACTTTGCAGTTTACTGAGCCTTCTTTGTTGGTCCCCTAGTAAAAAAAAAAAACCCTAGGGCTTTATTTACTGCATCATGCATGGTTGCAACCACACCTGTGTCCAGGGTGAAATAGCAGGACAACAAACAAAATAGTCATAAAAGCACTTAGACTTTGCCCCACCCTCTTGGGATTACAGCTTCACCAATCAAAAAAAGAGATTCACATTACTCTGTGTTCCTCGATATTCCTTTTGTGGCTATGCCACAATCAGCATGAAATTGCCCAAAAGTTGACTTTCGAGGGAAGAATTATGACACTAAATTTTCATATGATAGCCAAACATTAGGAATTTCCTTTTTTGTTCCTTAAGCCAGAACTATCAGACTTCTGGAGTTCTCTGCACACACAGTGACCGCTTTGGGATCTTAAGCTACATTACATCCTAAAAGGCTATATAGAAGGAAAACAAAGCCATAAATTCGCTGCTGGTTCAGTGACACTTTAAATTCTGGTCTTCTTCCTTAATGTGTTCACTTCCAAAATATATGGTTCATGCATTCTGTCCAGATTTGATAGTTGCATTCACTGTAAATAGAGGAATGAGTTTACTTCCATCTCGGTGAGTACAGAACTCCAGCTTCTGTTTTTTCGGCCAGAGAAAAGCTTTGCTATATGGAGGTCTGATTGTTATATAAAACCTAAATGTAATACATGTTTAACTGCATACATCTGGATTCCTAGATGACTTCCTAGGGGAGAAACATAACTAATTTAAAAGCCTTATGTCAAAGCCAGATGGATATTTCCTGTTTTCTGTCTCAGTTCTTTTCATCATTGATACTTCATCCACCTAGATTTTTTACAGCTGCTTGCTGTTAAAATTATTGTGCTCAATAAATTTATTCTTATATTTATGATTAATAGTAAATAATGTATTATTCATTCAGAAACAAATATGTGTTGTTATCAAGGGATTTAAGGTGGCCATACCAAAACAAGACACAATTTTAAAAAAGCAATACAATTGCATTTTGACCCAATAGCTTCATTTTGACTCAGAGATGAACCTATAGATCTATTAAGCAAATTAATGAATTGCTGTTACATTGATGCATTCTTTGAAAAAGCTAAAGATTTGTATGTAATTCTAATGTCCATCAGAATATGCATTAAATAAATGATATATCCACATACCAGAGTACTGTTCAACATTTAAAAAAATCAAAAAGACCTCCATTAATAGGTTTAAAAAATCAAGATGCAGTGATTATATATCATATACCTCATGTTGTATAAAAAAGTATGTACTTATATAAAGATTAGTGAAAGGAGAAGCAGGACCTAATAAAAGCCATCTATAGGAGACCAAAGGAAGTAGGCTATGAGGACAGGGTAGGAACAAGGCTCCTTCTATCAGCCTAAAGTATGAACCATATACAAAAATTCTAGGTAAGTCTTATGTGTTTTCCACCTAATACAATCACCTAATTTTTATTGTAAAGAATTTCAGAAAACAAATATATAAGGAATTGAAAAGGAACCCACATATACCCATCACTCAGCTTCAACAATTATGAATATATGACCTGTCTTACTTCTTCATACCCATGCCACTCTCCGTCTTGCTTGACCTGAACTGGGTTATTATCCTTCATGCCTCATGTATTATGCTTGTTCTATGTAACCTTAATTAAAGGGTAAGAATTTTTAGAACCTATCCAACATATAATTATCATACCTAAAAATTCCTGATAATTCTTTAGTTAGTAAATATCATTTTAATTTATTCAACTGATTTATATTTTTTTCAGTCAGTAGTATCTAAATAAAAGAACATTCCCCTTCCTTTTTTATTTTAACTCATTATGTCTTTGTGGGCAAAGATGACTTGCTTGTGTAGTTTCTTGTATTCTAGCTCTTGCTTTTTTTTATCTCTGTAATGTCTCTTTTTTATTGATGTAAAGAGAACAGATTTTTGTACATTCCTTAGGTACAGTTCCAAGAAGATAGCACACTTCCCTCTTTCACTGCTCCCCTCAGTACTCCTCCCTTTGTGCCCTTTCTTCATCCGTTCTTAAGAAGACATAGTTTTAGCCCACTCTATGTTTACAGGCTGAATTCGCTACTAATCACAACATCCAACTTGTGAAAAGTAGAAAGATCACCAGGTCCACTGGAGTTACTGTATCTCTATAGTGCCTTTTAAACCTGTTTCCTGAATCCTCCATCTTCTCTAACGTGGTAGTTAAATATAATGGGTCTGAGAGAGGCAGAGGTTTTTTAAATAGTGCTGTCTTCGTGATGTTAAAGACTTATCAACCTTATCCATCCATAGTGAAATTCTCCCACCAACTTTTCACTTAATGGTTAAAACAAAAAGATTTCAAGATCAGATTTTAAATTGGATGTAAAATTTTATGAAAGAAAGCTAAAGAAATGTATGTATTTTGTATGTTAATGTGTAATAGATTATGCAAGCCTATGTGGTAGAGATATTTGTGTGCCAAAGATGATATTTAGAATATATGCAATATTTTTCATGTGAGACAAAATTAGTGAGTGCAGAAAAAAACCAATAGTCCTGAACGAAGATATTCTTTTTTTTTTTTAAAGATTTATTTTTATCATTTTTTATTGGAAAGGCGGATATACAGAGAGGAGAGACAGAGAGGAAGATCTTCCGTCCGATGATTCACTCCCCAAGTGAGCGCAACGGCCGGTACTATGCCGGTCCAAAGCCAGGAGCCTCTTCTGGGTCTCCCACGTGGGCGCAGGGTCCCAAAGCCTTGGGCCGTCCTCGACTGCTTTCCCAGGCCACAGGCAGGGAGCTGGAAGGGAAGTGGGGCTGCCAGGATAGAACCCGCGCCCATATGGGATCCCGGGCATGCAAGGCGAGGACCTTAACCACTTGTGCCACCACGCCAGGCCCACAAAGATATTCTTAAAATCTTATTCTCTAATCAATCAAATTTCAGTTTTGGACTATGTCTCCTAAATCAGGGTGGATGTTGGTAGGAAAAATCAAAGGCCTTGAACTCCAGCTATTATTGGCTTTGATGGGATAAATAACATATTAATATTTCTATGAGATTTACATAGTTTAAAATAATTGTATTGCAAAGCCTAACAGTAGCTATGGCTCTGTTGGGCATAAAGATTGTAATGAAAAATATAAAGATTTAGTAACTTTGCCCCCACAAAGTCAATCCAGGTTATTCAAAATGAAGGAAAAGTAGTATCAACAGAAGAAAAGTAGCTATGCCCTTACTAGGTTGTATTGACTTGGATTATGCAATATTATTTTACTGTCATGAATTGTGCAAAATCATCTTTTGCTAGGTGTTATATAATCAACTTATAACATGTCAGAAATCCAAATCTGTTCTACTTCTAAAAATGAAGAGAATTTAAATTAACAACAATGGGCCTTATGTTCCTTGCAGTAATGAAACTATTATTTGTATTGCCAGGGTATCCTTCGGGTGTAAGAGGATTATAGTAGGCAGTAATCCAAGGCCACTAACCCCAAGTAATCCTTATTGCCTGGTCTGTCTTCCATGGCTCTCGTGTCACTGCAAGTAACTGTCTCCACTAAATTATTTTCTTTTACTCTTCCTTTTGCATTTCAGCACTTTCTTTCAATCTCCATTTGTCTAATCCATCTGTCCCCAGAATGTAATATCTATATTTAATTTATTCTAGCTTTCAGCTTCCCTGTTTGTTTTCCTGAAATAATGTGTTTCTCTTTATTATTCATAGACACCAATGTGTATGGGAGATATATAGAGCTTATGTATGCCCCCCCCCAAAAGTACCCAGAAGCTCACTCTTTGCCCCTCTGGCAAAGGTTTGAATATTTTCTAAGCTCCTGGAATTTTCTCTGTATGGGTTAAATCTGTTCTCGGTCTTTACATTGAAAGTTTTCTGAGCTGTTCTTACTGGTTTTCATGCCTTTGAGGGAAGCCAGCTACCATACACTAGGCGGATACTCAGTTGTTAAAGTAGTATGTTATAAGGACAATGATAGGGTGGGGCAGGCTTGTGACACAGTAGCTGAACCACCCTTGGAACACCTAGACGAGAGTTTAGTTTTAAGTCCTTGCTCCAATCCCAACTCAGCCCTCTCCTAATGTATGCTCTGGGAGACAGCAGACGATGAGGCAAATATCTGGGTCCCTGCTTCCCATATGGGAGACGTGGATGGCTTTGCCTTCCAGGTCCAGCATCAGCTATTTCTGGTAGTTGTGGAGTGAATCAGCAGCCCTTCATCTCTTTCAAATATGTAAGACTAAATTAAACTTTTTTTTTAAAAGAGACACAAACAAATTTTGAATATTTAGATAAATAGTTGGAAAGTGATAAATGATGAGGATAGATTAACAAATGAATGAGTAGGAATCAGTTGATTATCAATGTAATAATATATGCTAGTTGCTTTTAATTTTTACATATCTGTATTGGAAATATAAATACTATTTTCTTCTTCATTTTATTCATCACAGGGATTATGACCGGGAACAGTTTGCTGATAACCAAATCCCACTACTGGTGATAGGGACTAAACTGGACCAGATTCATGAAACTAAACGTCATGAAGTTTTAACTAGGACTGCTTTCCTGGCTGAGGATTTCAATGCAGAAGAGATAAATTTGGTGTGTATTTTAACTAATGTGTGTTTGTATTATTATCAAGTGTTGCAAAACCAGAGACCTATTCAGATTATTTAGGTTCTAGTCAAAATTGCAATTGATTATCCAGACTGCCAGATAGACCAGCACTTTGACTGTAATCTTTTGGCATGTTCAAACCTTATTTTATAATAATGTCAGTTATGGGCTTTTTAAAATTCACACCAAAAGTAATTATATTAAGGTGACGCTAGATTCTTGTTTTTAAGGAGCCTTTTAGCTTTTACAAAATTTACCTTGTGGCTTCTAAACTGAAATGCGAAAATTACAAACTGTTAGCCAGAAGTGCTTCTTAAGGCTCATTTATATAAGTGTATGCATAAATAAAAGATTAAATTCCTTCCTGAGATAGCTAACTCGATTAGACTGAATGCTGAAGTGACTACGAAACAGTACTCACGGAGCCAGTGTCATGGCAGAGTAGGCGAAGCCTATAGCGCCAGCATCTCCTATGGGCTCCTATTTGTGTCCCAGCTGCTCTGCTTCCAGTGCTGCTCTGAGCTATGGCCTGGAAAAACAGCAGCAAATGGTTCAAGTTCTTGAGCCCCTGTGTTGCAGGGGCTCCAGCTGTTGCAGCCATGTGAGTAGTGAACAAGCAGATGGAAGACTTCTCTCTGTCTCTCACCTTCTTTCTGTAACTCTGCTTTGAAATAAAAAATAAAAGCAAAACTGAATTAAAATATTTTTAAAGATTTATTTATTTTTATGGGAAAGGCAGATATACAGAGAGGAGGAGAAACAGAGAGAAAGATCTTCCATCCGATGGTTCACTCCCCAAGCAACACAACAGCTGGAGCTGAGCCAGTCCGAAGCCAGGAGCCAGGAGCTTCCTCCAAGTCTCCCACATGGATGCAGCGTCCCAAGTCTTTGGGCCACCCTTGACAGCATTCCCAGGCCACAGGCAGGGAGCTGAGTGGGACCCGGTGCCCATATGGGATTAGAACCAGCGCCCATATGGAATCCTGGCACGTTCAAGGTCAGGACTTTAACTGCTACACTAAAGCACCAGGCCCTGAATTAAAATTTAAAAAACAATATGCATAAGCCAGTTTTCACTTCCCAAGAAAAAGCATTGGTCAGCAGCTCCTGTCATAGCTATGTTATTGTGTCATAACTATGTTATTGCATGATTTCTGGAATATAATCATTGTGCTGTCATTTCAGGTAGTGGTGGTGGTGATTAAATACTAATGGCTAACATTTAATGCCTTTATAATTATCTAGTTCATTTATAAAATCTAATGTTTTTCTAATTTAATTATCTCACATGCACACCAACCTTCTGAGATAGGTACAGTTATCTCTATCTAAGTTGAAAACAGAAAGCAGGGAGGAAAACAGAGCAGAGTTCCACAGGTATGTAAGGCATTCTAACTCCAGAGCATATGCTTCGTAAGTAAGCCTGTTTTACATTAAGTTTTCCTGTGGCAACATGTAGAACTTTGGAGCTGCGAGAACTCTGGGACATTTTCTGGATCCACAGTAACCCAATCCCACCTGCACAATTATATTATCAGAAATAATTATACAGGTTTTTTGAATAACTACCCCACACCTCGAGACTTTTTATTCATAATGTCTGGCAGGAGTACCAGGACTGAAAATTGTAACAAATAACTCAGATTCTGATGCCTTTATTTTGTGACTCAACACTTGTGAAAACTGCTTGGCTCCATCCCACCTCTACCCCCATGGCTGAGTCAGCTTCTGCCTTCCGTTCCATTGTTTTTCACATTCTGCTTTGCAGTGGAATATGCCTTATTTATTCATTGCTTTTAGTCATCACTATGGAAAATTCAATGTAAATAACCCAGATAATTAGAAATGGGCCATGATATTCCAGAGGACTCCTGACATACCAGAGTATCCTCATTAAAGAAATATCGAGCTTTCTTTGAACATCATTTCTAATGAGATATTTACCATTGAATTCACTTAATTTGTTCCAGTGATTGCTTTTCGTATGTATCTCAACATATCTGTTTCTAGAATCTATGGGTTTCTGTAATACCACTTAGATATGTGTTGTTGTTACCTACTTTACCAAGGCCTAGCCATCTTTTAGTTGTTAGCAAGATATAATGGGAAGTGCATGTGGATCTCTGCAGAGTTCTTATACAAGATGATTTTAATCCCTATCAGTGTACAGCATTAAGAATGCAGGATTCACAATAGTAAAAATAAAAAAAAGGGGGGGGGTCATATGAATACAGGAAAGAAAAAATGAGGAAAATTGGATATGAGAGAATTTTTTAAAAAATAGTAGTCAGAAAGATTCTGCAAATAAATGTAAAGCCTCAAAGTGGAAACTGGTGTTGGCAAAGGAGCTGAGACATCTCTTGGAATGCCCACATGCTGTGCTGGAGTTTGCAGGTTCAAGTTCTGGCTCTGCTAGTTTCCTGTTATTTGCTTCCTAGGGGGCAGGCAGGTGTTGACGCAATTGCTTGGGAACCTGCCACGCACGTGAGAGATCTGGATTGAGATCTGGGCTCCAGGATTCGGGCCAGCCCATCCCCTGCCTGTTGTGGGCATCTGAAGAATAAGCCAGTACAGAGAGGGACATCTGTCTGTCTGTGTCTTTCTTTCCTTCCATACCTTTCAAACAAATCAATTTAACAACAAAAAACTGTGAACTAATGTAACAGTATTAGTGTTAGCATCATCAGTTGCGATATGAGTATATTTACAGCAATAAGAAATAAGAAACATAACCAGTGCATCCCTCAAAGGAGAAATCAAAATTACCTTCCGCCTGAATACATGCAAATGTGTAAATTACAAATTTATGGACAAATACTTATTTTTTTTTAATTTTATTAGGCTTACTCTGTTTAGTATGAATCTTTCTCAGCTTTGTCTTTTACTCCGTGCTCACACTGAACCATCCCTAGTTAATAATCCTTTCTAAACCTGAGACAAGCTGTTTCAAGCTATTAATTATCATTCTTTGCCCTGAGCCATGATTAGTGACAGATGGTTCTGTGGGCAACAAACTTTTCACTTTTTTTTAAAGAGTCCTTTATTTTTATTGCAAAGTATAGAGGAAGAGAGACAGAGAGGAAGATCTTCCATTCACTAATTCACTTCACCCAAGTGGCCGCAACAGCCGGAGCTGCACTGACCTAAAGCCAGAAGCCCAGAGCCTCTTCCAGGTCTCCCATGCAGGTACAGAGTCCCAAAGCTTTGGGTTGTCCTCGACTGCTTTCCCAGGGCACAAGTAGGTTGGGAAGCAGGCCCGCCGGAACCGGTGTCCATATTGGATCCTGGTGCATGCAACGTGAAGACTTTAGCTGCTAGGCTATTGTGCCGGGCCCTCTAGTTTTCATTCTAAAATCACCAGTTTCCCAAAGCTGATGACCCCTCAAATTAAATTTGGGGCAGCTTTATTTACTATTCTAGTTTTTGTGGAGTTTTTTGTTTTTTCTTTTTAGCCCCATGTGTATCATCTCAGAAATCATTCATATTCTGATGAATATCCATTTTGTAAAACATATCTAATGCAGGTAAAAATCTTGCTTTTTATGTGTCTGAATTGCTTCAGAAACACATTCAAACATTATTTCCAATACAATAGTATATACCATGATGTTTCAGTGTTTTTAATCCATATACGAATTATTTTTAATTATCTTCTTGCCTGAAAATTCATTCTGATAACATTTGGTTAGAATAATGAGAAAAAAAAGAATATTCCAGAACCTGCTATGTGCCAACATAAAAGATCTGATTTAATTTTCACAGAAACCCTATCGATAATTAGTATTACCCCTGGCTCTCTAATAAGTAATCCTAACTTTTAAAGGGTGGTAACCTAACTCGTGTTAGAATCTAGAAATCCTGGGTTAGATACTTGGAGTCATAGCTGGCCAGTGTCACAGATCGCTGATTTTTCTAGTGCTCTGCGGTCTTTGAAGAATTTTCCGTCTCTTTTTAGTGATTTTGGAGAATTATTACAGTTTCTGGTCAGAGCCTTAAAATGTCAAATACAGATGAAAAGTGCTAAATTCATTAGAAAGTAATCATATCTTAGGTAACTTTGAGGTGGACTCCAAGTAAGCTCTCTCTCTCTCTAAAGGTAGCAAGTACACAGTCGTGTTTAACATTCGAACACACAAAGTATACTCCTTCCGGAAGTGGCGAGTCCTCAGTGCCGTGGTGTAGCAGTGACAGTGCTGCACTAGAATTCTGGGAGGACAATATAAGCCTCTCCCTTTTCTGTTCAGGCTCTATTTTCGCTAATTTAAGGAATTCCATTTAAAAATGATAGTTTATTATCAAAAACTTTGTATCTTTCCATGTTTTCTACTAATATGAATGGCATAGTTCTTAATTACTTGAACATTTGGTACTAAAAAATGGAGTAGTTACTGTTTTTAATGGCTCTATTTCTGGTCTATTTTCAGGTCTCCCATGCAGGTGCAGAGTCCCAAAGCTTTGGGTTGTCCTCGACTGCTTTGGGATATATGCCAGTAGATCACCTGGATTAGTACCATTTGTTATTATTAAACTACTACCAGCCCAGTCTTCCTTAAAGAATTATTTGATACTGAATGCATTGATACATTATTCTCTAAAATTGCCTAAGTGACAGAGTAAAGGGCTTTATCTTACCTTTGTCTTTTTCCTCTTTGGTTTGTGCATGATTTTAAAATAATTAGAATATTTCAGGAAGGCATTTTGTCTACTATTTTACTGTTAGAAGTGTGTAACAGGAAACAGCGATGATGAAGAGTTTCTTTCCTCTAACTCGTGAATCTTAATGTTTTATCTTCCAGGATTGCACAAATCCGCGGTACTTAGCCGCAGGCTCTTCCAATGCTGTCAAGCTCAGTAGATTTTTTGATAAGGTAATGGCTTCAATTAAGTTATTTTTAAACTTAATTTCTATATTATCAGACTTTAAATTCTTTGTGAAATACTATGTCCCTTTATTGCTACGTCTGAAACTTCACCTCCTGAATAATACTTGTTTTGATCTCTCTTATCAGTTGGTATAATTACTCAAAGCTGCTGACGTATTTATTCCCTCACCAGTCTTCCCTAAGTAAAACCTGGATTTAAATGAGGTTTTTGCCTTTCCAATAAAAATAAATAAATCTTCAAAAAAAGTTATCCTTAAAGCAACTTATACTTACCAATATCCTAGCTTTTTTGTGCTCATTCACATACCCAGTTCTCCCCTTACAATACGCAATAGGCCAGGGAGGTTCTGCTGATAGCCTTGAGTTCTTTCGCCCTTTCCATGTGAATGCTAGCAATTCTTTGTAAGGTTATGCCATCTTCTTGTTCCTCTGTCCTAACCTTTGCTTTCCCCTTGTTGACTCTGCTGGCATCACTGCACTGTCCTGCACTGGGATGAGAATGTCATGACTCAGCATACTGGTAAATTTGAGTACTATTTGTCTTTCTTTCCACAAGGCCATGGGCTGCAATGTGCAAAGGATTAACCAAGTCTGAAGTGGTTGGCCCAATGTTGACATTGCTTAGTAAAGTAAAATGGAATGTGTTTCATCATATATTACTGGAGCACATTAATTTATGTGTCACATTAAGTGCAATCTCCTGATAAAACCATTTCCTTCCTCAAAGCTTTTTTGAAAATAATGTTTCTATTAACTGTTTAAATTTGATATTTGGCCCCTGTGTTCAATGTAAAATAAGCCCTATTCCCCTTTTGTTTTGGTATTACACCACCATTAGACCACATTTGGCTTCACTGCAAAACTTCCTAACTGGTATGTGGCAAATAGGATTTGGCTATGCCCAGATATTGGTTCACTGAATTCTTAGAGCCTCTAGTCCTAAAAGCTGAATAAATGATAACGTTCTCCATTTGCAACCATATGCTATGCAAATATGAACAATTTCTAAATATACTATAACTTGACAAATATTCAGAAGCATTGAAAGGAATCTGGCTTTCTGTTTTCAAACTTAAAATTTAAGAAGCAGTTATAGTGAAGGTATGGAGAAAAGATTTATTTATTTTTATTGGAAATGCAGATTTTCAGAGAGAAGGAGATACAGAGAGAAAGATCTTCCATTTGCTGTTCACACTCAAAATGGCCACAATGGCTGTAGCTAAAGCAGTCCAAAGCCAGGAGCCAGGAGCTTCTTCTGGGTCTCCCACATGGGTACAGGATTCAAAGGTTTTGAGCCATCCTCTGCTTCTTTCCCAGGCCTTAAGCAGGGATCTGGATGGGAAGAGGAGTAGCCAGGACAAGAACAGGTGCCCATATGGATCCCAGAGCTTAAGCATGGGGCGGAGGGATGGGTGATTAGCTAATTGAGTCATTGCACCAGGCCCAAAATGGGTTTATTTTGTACACTGTTGGTAGGAGTATGAATTAATACAGCCTTCTGGAAAACAACATGCAGATATTTCAAAAAGTAAAAACTGGAATGTGCATGTCATCTTATAATCCTGCTGCTGGGTATACTGAGTATATATGCAGAAGAAATTAAATCAGTCTGACAAAGAGACATCTGTGCTCTCATATTTATTGCAATGTTATTCATAATAGCAAAGAAATGCAAACAGACTGAATGTCCCATCAACTGATGAGTAGAGAAAGAACACAGATATCTATACACAGTGGAATGTCATTTAGCCATAAAAAGGGTGAAATCTTGTCATTTGTTACAACATAGATGTAAGTAGAGGTCATTATTTAAGTGAAACAAAAAAAGCCAAATCTAAAGAGACAAATTCTACATGATGCCACTCATATGTGGACTCTAAGAAAGTTTATCCCATAGAAGCTGAGAGCAGAATGGTATTTACCAAAGAGTAAGGAAGAAAGGGGCATGGAAGGGGAGACAGAGAAAGGGTGATGAATAGCGTGCTAACTTGAGAAAAAAAAATTTGAGTGTTCTTTTGCACAGTAGACTTATTATACTCATAGATAACAAAAATACTTTTTAACAACTGGAAGAAAAAATTTTGAATGCTTTTACCATAAATAAATAAATGAGAAGATAGTTTTACTCTGACTGGTACACAGTTTAAATATATCAAATAATCATGTGATATTCCAATATGTACAATATATGTGTCCATTAAAAGTGTTTAAATGTATTTTGAAAACAAGGCAAGAAGAACTTTTGCTTGATTTGGAAAGCGGGCCCCCCCCATAGTATTTATATATTTAAAGAGTTCTTGATTCATTGATATATTTAAAAGCATAGTAGAAAGAGAAGGGGGAGATAAAGAGATTTTCTGTCTACTGGTTTTCTTGGCAAATGGCATCAACAGCCAGGAATGCACACAGCCAAAGCCCAGAAGCCAGAAGCTCCATCCAAATCTCTCGTGTTGGTGTTAGAAGTTCAAGTACTTGAGCAGTTGTCTGCTGCTTCTAGGGCACATTGGCAGGAAGTTAAATCAAAAACAGGAACTGAGACTCCATACTAGGCATTTCAGTATGAAATGCAGGTTTTCCAACTAGCAACTGGACCCACTGCACAATACCCACCCTCCCACAGTATATTCTTTAAATTTCTTCATCGTGTATTAGCTGTAAAGTAAATAAAAAACAGCAAGTTATATCTGAGAACAGGAGGTTCTAAGCTGGCACAATGCAACTTGTGAAGAAGCTCTATTTTAGAGCAGTTCTAGGAGCAGTTTGGTTAGTTCAAAGAAGGGAGCAAGAGTTGGTGAGAGTGTTAGCATTGTGTCACAGTAGATTAAGGCCCCACCTGTGACACTGACATCCCATTTCAGAGCACTGGTTTGAATCTGGCTGTTCTGCTTCCCATCCAGCTCCCTGATAATGCACTAGGAAGGCAGTAGAGAATGATCCAAGCACTTGAAGTCCTGCCACCATTATGGAAAACCAGGATGGATCTCCTGCCTTCAGCCTGGGCCATCCCAGGCAATAGAACCAATTAGGCTGTGAATCAGCAGATGCCGGTTATGTCTGTCTCTTTCACTGTCACTCTACCTTTTAAGTAAATAAATAATTTTTGTAAAAAAGGAAATATTTTTTTAAAGTTTAAACGATTAGATTTTCCTATCCTGCTGTGGAGAGAAGAAAGGGAATCAGTGCTTTGTTGTTGCCTGTGGAGTCAAGTGTTTCAAAATAAGCCCTCGTCGGGAACTGGTTTTCTATTCTGGGACTAGTAAAGACAACCTTATCTTGGGTCTCTTGTGGCTAAAAGTAACCCAGTCAGAGTCTCTGAGATGGAATCTGGATGATCTCAGGCCAGTGAGAGGGAGCTGGCCCAGGCCTGAAGGAATATACTCTACTCTCATTCACAAGAATTCTAAGCTTCCTGATTCCAGACTCAGTGTTTTATTTTTTTTAAGATTTATTTATTTTTATTGGAAAGTCAGATATACAGAGAGGAGGAGAGACAGAGAGGAAGATCTTCCATCCAATGATTCACTCCCCAAGTGACCACAATGGCTGGTGCTGCGCTGATCCAAAGCCTGGAACCAGGAACTTCTTCCAGGTCTCCCACACGGGTGCAGTGTTCCAGAACTTTGAGCCATCCTTGACTGCTTTCCCAGGCCACAATCAGGGAGCTGGATGGGAAGTGGAGCTGCTGGGATTAGAACCAGTGCCCATATGGGATCCCGGCGTGTTCAAGGCAAGGACTTTAGCCACTAGACCACGCCGCTGGGCTCATCAGTGTTTTATTTTTAAACTCCAGCTATTCTGTATCCTTATCTGACTACTTATCAGAACAGCTACAGGTAAAGAAAAAACATTGCCTGTCAATCATTGAAGTTTCACAAATATTAGAGGAAAACTCATTATTTTTTGAAGTGTTTCTGACCACTTGAAAGCATGCCACTCTGAAACATGGTACATTAGGACATAGGATCTGCTTTCAGTGGTAGCGATGGGTAAATGCAGATGCATCTGTCACCCGAACTTGTTTCTCCTAGGATGTAGATTAAGCTCATTAAGGAAAGCTAATTGGCTGCTTTGGATGTTACATCATTTGTCCAACTTGAGGGTATGCCAAATTTTCACTCTTTACTATTTGGGCTTGGTGGGTCACCACATTGAACAGACTGCTCTTTAAGGAATAACTACTATGACAATAACCAAGTATTTACTTATCTTCTGGAAATTCTGTTTGGTACATTTTAGAGGTGACTGCTACAAAAACCTACAAAGCCAGATTTTCTGCCATACTCTAGGAATTGCCTGGGAACTTGTGTCATCCTCTCATTGTTTACTTGTCTTTGCTTGCTTATTTATAATATTTAATTGTTATTTAAAAAGCAGAGTTACTGGGAGGTGGGAAGAGAGATTGTCCATCCCCTGGTTCTCTGTCCAAAGGTACTCAACAGCCAAGACTAAGTCCACCCAAACCCAGTAGATAAGATCTTCATCCATCTCTCTGGCATCGGGGAGCAGAGCCCAAATATGTGAGCCATCCATCAGTGCCACCAAGAGGCACTTGCATTAAGCTGCATGGGAAGATCACATTAGCTGGGGACTCAAACCAGACACTCCTATAAGAAGGGTGCTGAAGTCCTAAATTACAGCTTGAACCTCTAGGCCACGAAGCTCACCCACACACACACATTTATTTTTTTACCTATTCTTAATTTTTTTTGTAATAAACTAGATCTTTATGGAAATACTCTACAACCCTGGTGTCAGTAGCACCAGATTTTAACCCACTACACTAAATGTTCAGGGAACTCTATCTTTCCAACCAACTCCATGGTCTTCTCTCTGTTTCTCGTTTTTAGTCACACTTCTTTGGTGGACAGGTGGCACTACAGCCTCTCCCCTCCAATCTCAGGGACCACAACTCCTCTAGCATGGCAGAGGTGTGGGACAAAGAGGGCAAGGAAGAAGAGTTAGTCACATAAGGAGGGCTTCTATGCCTGCACTTAGAGCAATGGGAGGCCACACTGCCAAGAGGGGCCCCTCAAGTGAACCGCCAGCCCCACCACCCCAGGAAGGCCTAATGTCACACCCCAACCCTGCCAAGGGAGGGCATTGTATCATCAAGCAGTGCTGAGACAGGCATAGCCTCTGGGGGAAGCCCAGGCTGCAGTGTGTTAGAAGTGTGGATGATCAATGTGTCCTGCAGTTCACATTAATTCTCTCAGCTAGCTGTGTCCTTAATCGCATGAGTTGAGTAGTCCCCTCATTCTCTCTATCCTCATTAGTGGCCATTTCAATCAAGCGTACTAAGCCCTTAAAATCTTTGTTTCTCACAGGTCATAGAGAAGAGATACTTCCTACGGGACAGTAATCAGGTTGGTATCTATCCTTTCTTGATAAAAATTAGTCTTAAATTTGGAGGGAAATGATTTCCAAATTTATTTTCAGAAGTGTTTGCATAAATTTGAGGGAAACTCTTTGTAGGCAGAAGCAGCTTACTTTGCACTGTACTGTTAAACCTGAAAGGAAGAGTGCTAAGGAAATAAAGATCCTGAGACAGAGTCGTTCAAAGATAAGGTAACGTGAAGAAATGACAAAGGAAAATCATTTAATTGGGACTCCAACAGTATATGTACAGAGACTATCAAGAATCAAATAATTCATATGCAAATTGAGATGTTGAGTATTATGAAATTCATCTTCATCCTTTCAATTTTTTTTTAACTTACTTATTTGAGAGGCAAAGGGAGAAAGAGAGAGCTTCTGCTCTACTGGTTCATTCCCACAAATGCCCGTAGTGTTTGGTGCTGAGCTGGGACTGAAGCAGAGGCAGAGCACAGTGCAGGTGAACCACGTGGGTGGCAGCCACCACTGCCTCCCAGCACCTGCCCTGGTGGGAAAGCTAGAGTGCAGAGCCAAAGCCAGGAGCCAGGCCCAGGTCACACTCTTTGGGAGTTGAGTGTCCCAACCATCAACCTAAATGGCGGCCCCTTTTCTAATTAGATGACAGTCACATTTGCTTGGCAGATTTTTTTCCATGTCGGCTGAATTTCTTTATATTTATTCCTCGCGTGGTGTGAGTAAAAGCTGGTTTTTTTGTTTTTTTTGTTTTTTTTTTTTTTAAGGAACAACAGGCTGACATATAGAAAAAGGAGAAACAAAGAAAAAAATGTAAAAGGCTACCAGTGTTTGAACTTTTCCAGCTTGAGATTTAACATGATTATCTTTCTTGCCTACAGATTCCGGGCTTTGCTGATCGAAAAAGGTGTGGAGGAGGAACATTGAAGAGCCTTCATTATTACTGAATTACACTTATCCTTTGGAAGACTGAGCAAGCAGTGGCAGTTTTTCACAGCTTTCCTCTTGCTGTGTCAGTTATTAACATCACAGCCTTTTAATCAAATCATCTTAAAGTGCGAGCCTTCAGCCCTCACCCTCTAATGGAAAAATGAAAAGAAGTGACAACGTGGGAGGTGCGGACTTTTCCCTGGCTCCCTCTGCTCCTCACCTTTCTGTGCCTGTTTATAGATCCTGTAAAAGCCTTGTGGAAATATGAGGTATTGTCAGAATGATGTGGTAAATGAGCAGTGACAAAGCGCTGCAGAGAAAATGTACTCTTGCCCAGGACTGGAGGGTTTTTATGGCTCTGTAATTTCCTGATCTCATTGCTGAAGGCTTAATTAAGTGCTTCAGAAATGTATCTCTATTGTTTTGCCTTCTTGAGAGGAAAGGTTATGTTAACCAGCCCTCAGTGGTCCACCCCAATAATCTCTCATTTTCAAGAAAGCAAAATGGTGTTATTTAATTGTCTCCCCCATCATTTCTCTCTCATTCTCTTTCTCTCCCTAACAGACACACACACACACACACACACACACACACACACACACGCCTAAAAATAGCAACTCTTTCCTCCAGCTCCTCTCCTTTGCAGATAGCTTGGTGGCTGGGAGAAATGGAATGAGAGCTGGAGTTAAATATAAATACAGATTAATAATACATAGACCAGTAGTCAGAGAAGAAAAGAATTCTATGAGAAACTGACAGCTCCTGTCTTTGGGTTGCAGCTGACTGCAGTCTGTCCTGGTGTTTTCTGCCTGGAAATGGGTAAGGTGAAACCTAAGTCCTGCTCAGAGGCAGCGAGAGAGTTAAAGCCTCTTTGGTATTTATGTTCTTAAAGGAAAAATCAAAATCTGAAGTGTCATTTAACTAAACTCAATGAATAGCATGACTCATGTATCAATAATGTATTCATGGAGAAAAGTAAAAAGTTCCACCATCTTACATTTACATAAATTATGAACTAGGATTTTTCAATTTCATAATCACTCCAAAGCTTTTGGGGGATGTAGGCTGTGTCTCTGTGTGTATGCTTGTTTAATTTACTTGGCCCCAGTTCTTCCTTAACATATTAACCTACTTTCAAAAAATTTACAAATTTACTGTCTTTGTCAACACTTGGTCACCCATATTATATCTCTCTGGTTTTGTTACAGATCTCTGCACTCTTTTTTTCTTGCATATTAAAAAGTAATAATAGTAAGTGCTCAGTTTCATTTCTTATTTTAAAACTAGAGAAAAACCACAAAGCTCACTTTCTGTTCCATTTCAGTGAAATTTCAGAAGTGCTCTGGAAATCAAGGTATGCTGAGAAAGGATATTAAAATGAAAACATGAAAGAATCCCTTTTAGAAAGGCAGCCTTAGGAATTTGGGAGAGGATTCCTAAAGCACTTGTCTTCAGATTGTTCTCCAAGCTTTCCCCATTTCCTTCCTTTGTTTTTTTAACATTAACGCCAAGCTATGGGAATCATGATTGCCCTGTTGAATTTGCCACAAGTGTGCTGTGTGATAAGGGCTTTGCAGTTGGGAAGTAGAAAGCAAATGCGACAGACGCGTAAACCAGTTGCAACACTTGGTATTTTTTTGAATAACAGCAATAAAATCTAAAACCCCTTTTACTATGTGTTTAAATGTGATTTGGCTCCCAAACTCATTCAAAACTCTCACTCTAAAGTCGTAAGATGAGAGGTACTAGAGGATGGAAGCTTAGTCCAATTATGGAGCTAAGAGAGGCCTGGTGGAAGATGCTTAGGCCACTGTGGGAGTGGGCAAAGTGCCATCAGAAGATAATTCTTTAAATTTTTTAAAAGATTTATCTATTTTTATTAGAAAGTCTGTCTGCTAGTTCACTCTACAAGTGGCCGCAAAAGCCGGAGCTGAACCAATCCAAAGCCAGGAGGTTCCTCTATATCTCCCTTGCAGGTGCAGGGTCCTAAGGCTTTGGGCCATCCTCTACTGCTTTCCTAGGCAACAAGCAGGGAGCTGGATGGGAAGTGGAGCAGCTGTGACACGAAGCAACACCCATATGGAATCCTGGCACATGGAAAGCGAGGACTTCAGCCACTAGGCTACCACACCATGTCCCACAAGATAATCCTTGAGTCTTTACAAAAACCTGTGTTTAGACCCAACTTCTCTCTGCCTCCTGGCTCATTCTGTGATTCTTCTTCCACATGCATTCTGCACTTGCCTCCCCACCTTCACAGATGCCAAACAAGTGGGACTCCTGAGCTTGGCCTAGAACCTCAAAAATAAATGAAGTCTCTTTTTATAAAGTTAGTTACCTTAGATATTTGATTATATTGACAAGAGGCTAACAGAGCTTTCTTTCTCTTAATAAAAAAAAAAAATCCATCCCTATTTATTTTCTCCTTTATAAATGAAAAGTAACACATCACTAACAGCTCCAGTGCCAGCCTTGTAACAACAGTATTCCTCGGCCGAGTTTCTTTTTGTTGCTAGGCTTGATCCTTTCAATTATAGTTTTCTAAGATGATTTTTAATAATTTAAGTATTAGTATGTTTCAGGTATCAGTAGCAGAAAAAATAAAACTGCCAAAATAAATTTCATTTGCAAGAGTTACTTTGTAAGAATGTTTTTGAAGGCGGGGCACATCAGATTAGTGGCCAAAGTCCTTGCCTTGCATGCACCAGGATCCCATATGGGTGCCAGTTTGTATCCTGGCTGTCCCACTTGGGGAGTGAATCAGCTGATGGAAGATCTTTCTCTCTGTCTCTCTTTCTCTCTGTAAAAATTTGACTTTCCAATAAAAATAAATAACTCTTTTACAAAATTTTTTGAATCATTATTTTTTTCACAATTCCTTGAGAACTTAGAAAAATTATTTCTAGATATAGACAAGTATAAATACAAGATCAGTTTTTTTTTTTTTTGTCTTGGGATGGTGTTAATTAAACCCTCAGGTTTTTTAAATATGAAATTTTTATTTATAATTTTTAATTAATAATATTAGATTTTCAGAGTCATGTCACAATTATTATAATATGATGCACAGCCATTCTCCTATTAATATGATAGGAATACAGATTAACAGATTCACAATGAATATTTCTGTGCTTGTGACAGTTGAAAGTAGATTGTAAGTTGTTCTGAAAATAATTTTTTACTTCTAATAACTGACTCTATGGTATTCTGTATTATGCTCAGGATGGTCTCACAGTAGATTCTTTTTTGTTTGTTTAATTGTTAAGAAATCAACTAAACGGGCCCGGCGCGGTGGCGCAAGTGGTTAAGGTCCTCGCCTTGCACGCCCAGGATCCCAAATGGGCGCCAGTTCTAATCCGGACAGCCCAGCTTCCCTTCCAGCTCTCCGCCTGTGGCCAGGAAAGCAGTCGAGGACAGCCCAAAGCTTTGGGACCCTGCACCTGGGTGGGAGACCCAGAAGAGGCTCCTGGCTTTGGACCGGCATAGTATCGGCCATTGCGCTCACTTGGGGAGTGAATCATCGGACGGAAGATCTTCCTCACTGTCTCTCCTGTCTGTATATCCGCCTTTCCAATAAATAAATAATAAAAATTTAAAAAAAGAAATCAACTAAACAAAAACATTTTGGCAAACCAAAATAAAGATAATGTACATAGATAAACAAAATGACACACACCAAAAAAAAAAAAAAAAAAACCCAGACTCAATGTAATTCTTGGATATTATTCTAGCAATTTAATGATACTCTCCATCTTTCTGCAGCCATACCATCCTAAACAGACCCATTCTCACCTAAATCTGAATCTTCTTACTTTCTTGATGGAACACGTTGCTAGAAATATAGAACGTTCTTCCTCCTCACCACCTGCAATAGCTGTAACTAATATTCTGAATCATTGTGCTAAGTGAACAGATGTGAAGTTTATTGCCACTCATCTTTTTTTTAAATTATATTTGATAATCTTTACAAAGTTAATTAGGGTAAAAAGTTCCAAGGGCTATAGGGAAGTGGTTAAGACTATTATTTCCATATTGTTTCCTTCATGTATCTGAGGTAAAGGGAGTATTGAGGGAGAAGCCCCACCCAGTTTCCCACCCCAAGTCCCAGATGTGGGGCATGCTCTGAGGGTCTTGCTCAAGTGGTTTTGATAGTTCACCAGTTATGAATCACTGCCAATCTTGCCACTCCAAGCACGATGAGGTTGAAGAATCCACTGATTGACACAGTCCCTCATAGTCTCCATTTGCCTAGTATTTCACTGCCAACAAATAGCTGAGGTGGTTGATAGACTTGTTCTGTCTTCTGTCTTTTCTTGGTTAGGGTTCTGAGTCCGGCAATTCGATGGGGAGATCCCGGCACAGTCCATCGCCCCGATCAGCTGGTGGTTGCAATTGCTGGGTTGGTTCTCTTTTCAGCCCCGATTTCCACTGGAACCAATGGGTGTTGCAGTCCAGCCTGTTTCTGCCCAGCACGTACTGGGTCCTCACATAAACCAGTGGGAGCTGCAGCCTAATGAGAGCGACCCGCAATAACCCCACCAGGCCCGCACCCTACCCTGGTTTGCCAGTATGTACAGAAGACTGGTCCAGTCTGTCCCATATCCCATTTGGCTCTCGTACATGACGATGGGTATTGAAGCTTAGTTCCATCCAACCAGCTCAACTATCCAGCCCTCACGGATGTTGTTGAGTGCTTCTCTCTGTCTAGCCACCCCAGCCCCTGTCCTAGTTTTCGTGCCCTCCTGTGGGAGTGGTAATCCAAGAGGGAGAAGCCCACTGTTTCCCGCCCAGGTCTCACTCCAGGATTATGCACTCTTCAGGTGGTTCTGGCATTTGACTTGACAGATTGGCCCCCAGTGCTAGCTTCTGCCAACTGATGCTGTGGCTAAGCCGAAACAACCCTCACCCACTCTAATTTTGTTTGCATCAGTAGGAATAATCAGCTCAGTCTGGCTTTTCCCTGATCTAGTCCACATGAGGCACACAGGTGTTATAGCCCTGCTTAATCTGGACTGCCCCCATCCCATCCCATGCCCTCCAGTGGGAGTAGCTGTCCAGCAAGGGACCCCCTCCCTTTTATATTCCACCTGCCGGCTCTGCCCCTTCCCTTCCTGATTCTCACGCATGCTGTTTGGGCGCTGCAGTCACTTCTGGTACAGGCAACCTCACTTTGGCATTCCGTATTGTGCACTGCTTTTGTCACAACCGAACCTGGCTCGACCCACACTCTGTTCTGGTGCTTGGATTCACCAGTAGGTAATGTGAACAGGTTCAGCCTGGTCTGCCCCCAACCCATACCATGTGTATGCCAGTGGGATAATTTCCATTGCCTGTTCTGGGTTGTTCCCTATTGTGCTTCTTGTGCTTACCTGCAGGGACTGTGTCCTGTCAGAGAAGTTGCCCAGGCTCCTCCATCAGAAGCTTTCCCAATGCCAGTTTTTGCGCATACCAGTGGGTCCATGAGCCAGCCCTACTCAGTTAACCTCCTGTCCTAGCAGGAACAGTGGCTTTTCCTGACTGGCCTTCAACCCAATCTGGTTCTTGCTGTTGGATGTTTCAGCCCAGCCATGGCACGTCCTTACCCACATATGGCTCACATATGTCTCAGTAGGCGTTGATACCTAGCCTAGTCTGTCACACATCTACTCTGGTCCTCCAGGACACCAGACAGTGTTGGAGTTTGGCCCGGCCTGGTGCGTGCGTCCAGTCCCAGTCCACACTTGTGCCAAGGGAGATTACAACTGTATGCTGATCAGAATGAAGCCCCCATTCCAGCCCATGCGCCCCTTGGTGTGAACCTCCACCCAGCTAGGGTGTCCCCTTAGCTCCCCAACTGGGCCTGTTCCCAGCCATAGATCATGTGCATGCCAGTGGTTGTTCTGTCTCAGCTTGGCAGAGCCCCTCACCTGTCCCGGCCTCTGCCTTAGACACTGTGTCTTAGTGTCCCTGACTCACGCAGACCAGTAGGTGCAAGAGCCTATTTCAGCATGACCTGTGCTCCATGCTGGTTTCTAGTTTCGCTTGTAGGCCAAGGCTTGCTAGGGCCCTGCCCAGTATATTGTGCTCCATTACCAATTCACACAATGGCCAGCCATTGGAGCTACTTTGCCCAGCTTGTCTGACCCCCATATCTGGACCACATGTTTACCAGCGGGAGCTGTGACTTGCCAGGGGAGTTTCCTAAGTTACTCCACTTGAGCCAGTCCAAGACCCAGTTCTCATACATGCCAATGGGTTTTAGGCCAGTGCCCAGCGCAGTATGGCCTTCCATTTGGCCATGTATGAGCTGGTGAATATTGCAGCCCAGCCCACCCCACACCCTATTCAGGATGCACATTCAGGTGCTGCTGCCTTGACCAGTCCAGACTGTTGCGGGTTCCTTTGCCTGTGATTGATGGCAAGCCCCTTGGTCACACCTAGCTTAGTCCATCACCACTCAAACTGTTGAGCTAATCAGTAGGGCTAGAATTTCCACAGGGTGTGGCCCACACATCCCTCACTGAAGTCACCCCTGGATATGGTTCTTGAGTGCTAGTTAATGTCATGGCCCCACCTAATGTGACCTGTCAGCTGATTCATCCTCATGTCAGATAACAGCATATCCTGCTGGACAAGCCCCGAACTTTAGCTTTTGTATGAACTGGTGTTCGGTGCTAAGAATTGTTAAGTG